TCACAGCTCAGATATGTTGTATGTGAATCAAGCCCAGCAATATCTAGCAAAAATTATCACAAACAAGCCTGTGTACAGAGATTAATAAAAGAAGAAAAATCAAAACAATTGGGTAACATAATTATAAGAAACCTAATTGTAGGTCATCACCACATCTTATATGATCTATTACAATAGCTAAAAATAACCATTCTAGATGTTTTAATAGAATTGTTTCACAGTAATTGTAATTGCTAACTTAAGGTGACAAGTTAGTGACCAAGTTACTCAGTAAAATTGAGAGGCCAGAAAAAATAGTTACGTAACTTGCATGTAAGGTGTAGTTTTATCCTTATTTAAAAAAGTAAAGGTTCCCCTCGCACATATGTGCTAGTCGTTCCTGACTCTAGGGGGCGGTGCTCATCTCCATTTCAAAGTCGAAGAGCCAGCGCTGTCCAAAGACGTTTCTGTGGTCATGTGGCCGGCATGACTAAACACCAAAGGCACACAGAATGCTGTTACCTTCCCAGCAAAGGTGGTCCCTATTTTTCTACTTGCATTTTTTACCTGCTTTCGAACTGCTAGGTTGGCAGAAGCTGTAAGAATCCTTACTTATACCTTATCAAAATAAGCAAAGAAAAATGCTTACAAGGAGATAACATTTTAATAGATTGAATTGCACTGTATGTCTGAAAATCTAGTTTTATTACATAGCTAGTATCTAGTAATAATCTACTACAGAACAAACTTGACAGAAAATACCAGGACTTATCACAAATAAATCTAATCTAATGGATGAACTCTATCACCCTACTCTCCATGGTGAAGCCTTTTCACTTCAATGGATCATTACCCCATTGTTCCCTCTATTCACATTACCTAAGATTCAGTTAGGGCTTCTTCTTGGGCTCAGCTGTGAAGTGCACCAATGACAAAGAGTATTATTTTATAGAAAAAGCCCACAAATCCTATAAAGATCTCTTAGAGATCTATAGTCCTTTTTTTCACAATAATATCTACGGGTCACAGGTCCCATCTGAAATAAAGGAGCTAATTACTTGCAACAGGCTGCATATCAAACAATAAAGGATTAGACATAGAAATAAAATCAGATATGAATGATGTTTTCCTAGTTTTCTCAAGCAAAATGACTATATTTCCTAATAAAATCAGCCACCAAATGAATACTTCATGTGCACAACTTTCACTATATTATCGGCTATGATTAAGAAGCAATATGAATTTTGAATAGGATACAATGACCAGCTTGAAAAAGGACATAAATGAGAGCTCTGAAATAATATTTAGAAACTAGCAGGAGAGAATTTCAATATTCAATATGTTTATATTCAATATTTCAATATTCAATATGTTTATTAAACAATCATACATACAATAAATGAAGAATTTCAAAAGTAAATGTTAGTATGAAGCAACTGAACAACTGATGGATTTGTAATGAATCAAAATAGGAGTTTTATCAGACTAATCTTAATTAATTTACAGATTCATTATTTTTGTTCTGATTAGAAATTCTTTGTAGATTGTGATGAATAATTTAACAAATATTGAATATCTGTTGGTACATTTTGTATTTCACTTCCTTTGATTTTACTGCTTACAGATATTTCCCCACATACAAAAAACCCACATACCATCATCATGTGCATAAACAGTATCTATTATCTTTTAGGAAGCAAATCAAAAAGCTTAATCCATGATAAATTTGTTAAACCTTTAAAATGCCCCCAAACTTCTATTGATTTTATTAATCAACCATGTAAAGGTAAGTGGGAATGAACTTGGAAGACTGAGCAAATGGTTGGTTCCAAGAGAACCATCAGGTAACAGGCAACATAGCCCAAAGCTAGATAATGGGCAGTGCAATGGTTCAGAAGAATCCCTCCCTAGTTTCTTGAGAAGAAAAGAAAATGCGGGGAGGAATGTACATTCAGATATGATAGATTCTGTCAATATAGCTTTACAATAAAATAAATTAGCTCATCAGGTTGTATTTCCTATTTGGTTTGCTTCACAAGACTGACAACCACATACATATTAACAGAACTATTTGTGCAATGCAGTGCAAGGCTTTGATGTCATGCTTTGATAAAATCAGTGCACTGAAGTAGATGTGTGAACCAGTGTGGGGGCCTATTTTAAAATAGCAAATTGAATCAGGTAGTTTGAAAGCACTTTCTAGCTTTTCAAAATCCGTCTCAGTTTTGATTGATTTTCTACTGCTTCTGGAGTTGTTACTATATAATATTGCAGCATCTGTTCCATATATGGGAAGATGACAATATCTACAAGATTGACATGAATAAGTAGAATGCCTTATTAAACTTTCAGCCTATCAAAGTTGTTTAGGAGCAACCATCAACAGTAAGGAACAAGCAGTCAAGATATATGCCACAGGTTACTACTTGATGGAGCAGCAATGAAGGCCTTGGAAAAGATATTCAAATTTTTGTAATACAAAGATCAAAATAGTGCAAACATTGGTGTTCTCTGTGATTATCTAAGAAAGTAAAAGTTGCACCTCTGAAGGAACAGGATATTGACAGTTTTGAACTATGGTGTTGGAGAAGACTCCCAAGTATACCTCAGACAGCCAAGGAAACAAACTGATAGATCATTGAACAAATCAGCCCAGTCCTCTCTCAAGGCTCAAATGACAATATTATCCTCCATTGGATATATTATGTGAAGACCTAACTCCAATGCTGGAATTCCAGTAAACTGAATATGGCTTGGATAAAAGCAGGTAGTCTGGCTCTTCATAATTCCTCTTGCCTGCAATTTTCCAGTCTCCAGAGGGTTTAGAGCTCTGGGAGATGAGGGATTAGTTATTTTGCTGAAATCACGATTGCCATCTTCAAAAAGACACTGGGTTTGCATTCTTTCTTTTCTAATCTATTTCAGAAACTAATTGTAAACTGCTTTTCAGTTATTAGGAACCTCAGGAAAATATTTTTCGTTTGAATTCTTTTTTAAAAAATGATAGGATGGGACTTTGAACTTTGGACGCTAGAGGGAACTAGAAGGAACTAAAGATTATGATTAAAGGAGAAGAAAACTTAAATCTGACAGAGTGGAACAAAATATTTTAACATTGGACTTAATTCAAGATATTTTTGAACAATGAACTCAGAAATTAATTTTAAAAATGTCTGCCTCTAGAAAAGGGGGGAGGGGAATGCAGGATGGAAAAGAAAAAAAGGTAGAAAAGAAAAAAAGTATGTCCCTTCCTTTTGTTATCTTCATGCTGTAAGAAACCTCAATAAAATGTTAAAACAACAAAAAAGAATGTTTAAAGATGTTATGTAAGAACAACTTTTACCAGACAAACACTGAGACTGATTTGAAACTGGATTTAAAAACGACATGCTACAAGAATGATATAGAAAAAGATGCTACACAAAAGAAACTGACTTATGTCTTAATAATTAAAAGGGATATACAAATAACAAGCCAAGAAAATGACCTGGATTATTTTTTTCTGGATTTATAAAAGGGGCTTGTTAGAGCTTTGAAAAAAGTTTGTGACAAGGGAAAAAAATGAAAAGAACTCAAGTTCCACATTATTTCAAGGGTCTAAAGTAAAAGTAAAAAGGAAGGGATATAAAGTTGGTTTATTTGATCAAAGTTAAAATAGTTTTGCTGTTGTCTGCAATAATTTTTAATGGGTTTTTGCTGACTGGGCCTGAAATGCTGAAGTTTTGTTTATAAGTAAGACATTGAAATTTGGGAAGACAGCATTTGTTGTATTTTAAGAGGTCATAAGTTACTAATTTTTTTTAATACTTGTGATGAAGGGGGGCATTTCTCTATATATTTGAGTTTTTTCCCTATATTGTTATTTTTTCTTTGCAATATTTTTCTTTTCTGTTTTTTTTCTCTTTATGTTGCAATAATCCAAGTGAAAGATGACTAGCGCATTACTAACTGAGCTCAGAAAATCTTGATTGTTGATGGATAGTTAATTGTAAAAGGCAGAAGCTGTTCACTATTTCAGAATCTCCTTGTTGATTCTAAGGCTGGTTACTTTACCTTCTTTATATTTAGTTGTAATCTCATTTTTGTAATTGTGCTTCAGGACTGGAACATGGAGATCATTTGCCTCTTCAGCTATTAGAGTGATAGGCTATTCTATTGGAGCATGCAGATCATTTGCATCTTCATCTATTAGAGTAGTGTTACCCACACAGTGTACCTTATTAATAGTTATTCTTCTGTTAGCTAAGTCTAACAGCTATTTGTTCAAAATCAAACTTTCTAACTCAGTTTATTAAATACATAAATTATTTTATTCTTATTGAACACATAATGCATTTTCTAAGGATTGATTGATTTATTCTAAATAAAAAAAGCTCATTCTATTTTTATATGGAACCAAAAATTCTATAATTCTTCAACTATAACTTTTTTGATTCTTGTGTCATAGGATTTATCCATTGTTCTCTTTTTTAGATATTTCCAAACTATATCATTAATTTTTTATAGCAATTTGAAATTATGGATTTCATGTTTTCCTTCTTTATATCTTTTCTTCTTTCTTTTTGAATTCTTTGCAAAATATCTCAGTTCTATTGGCCTGCTGCTTTAAGACCAGATAGCCTTGCTTCTTTATGACGATGGAACAAATATTTCTTGGAAACAGATTTCAGCAGACTATTTTATAGTTTTTATGACTAAGTTATTATACTCAACATGATTGTGTCATATTTCCTTACAAGTTCAAACAGATATTAGATGGATTATATTAAATTGATTAGGCTTTGCATATCTTCCTGTTCTAACCAACTGAAATCCAAAGAAATGAAGATCTTTGTTTTAACAGCTATGGTGATGACTAACCTATTTATCAGTTAGTACTTCCTGTGTTACCTCCTAGTTTTTGCATAAGGGAAACAACAAATCATACAATAAAGACTGCACACTTAACAGTTTAAATATTCTTTGTTCCACAGTTCAGTAGAGAACAGGTCATATTTTTAGCTGACTCTTAAGAATTATTCTGCAAACAGTTTTATACATAAATGGAATTTCAATTTTTTCATGGAAATATAACTAAAGAAAAGTGTGAAGAAATACTGAGCAAAGTAGGAATAAATGGAAGTTTCTTAGTACGAGATAGTGAGAGCATACCTGGCGCTCTTTGCCTGTGCGTTTTGTAAGTACTTCCACTTTTATGTAACTAAAATAACTTCTTTTTATTGTTAAAGAAAAGGATTCAATTAGAAGAAATGCAAATGTTCAGTTGAATCTGGTATTGTATAAGGACAGCTTAAACATGACTGATGTTTTATGGACATAGTTTTATTTTTAGATGCTTGCATTTTTGGGAACCAACTACCATCTGTTTTCAGAAAGTAAGGAAATTGTTCCAGGCACATATACTTAGTGGGAGTATACATAATACTGATTCTGCTTTATTATAAACTGCAGTGTATATCTAGCCCAAATTTAAATATAGAAATAAATATACAATAAAATTATATGCTGTTTTTGGAGGTGATACATTTCAAGGATATTTTTTATCCACCAGCTCTCTCCATTTCTTCTTCAAATGATGTATGGTGTAGAAAGAGATATGTAGGATAATATACGTAGCATATATGGAAGCCAGTTCTCATATACGAATTCAACCAGTTGTATGATGGCAATTGTCATTGCTACTGAGCTTAAAGGCAATTCGTATTTATAAAAATTATTTAGAGGCAAGTATATGTAATTATTCCATACTGACTTGGGATGTCTACTCTTTTAATATAAAATACTCTTTGTCAATATAAATACTTCTTTTAATTTTTTTTCTCCTCCAGAATGGTAGAACAGATTTTTCTGTTGCTCTGGAGATGTTAATTCATATATTTGTTCAGAATTTTCACATCACAACAAAGTTCCTATTTATTTAGCTGATATCTATTTCTAGAAAACTAAAACTTAATTAGTTACAGTTTTGTTTACCAGTGACAAATTTATACATTTTGTGCATATTTCTCTTTATGGTTATCAGTTTTAGGCGTATGATTCTTCAGTGTATTTTACTTTCCCAGTTCCCGAACATACCCTTCCCTAATACACTTTCTATTCTAAAAATTAGTTATGAACATCTTATCTACACTTACCGAATCTTCAGGAAAAGTGATGGACATTTTATGATGCAGGTAAGAAAATATATAATCTATTCCTTATTCCTTAAATGTAAAGAAATATAATTTTAATAGACTCCTACAAAACTTTCATGCAATTTTACTAGTTGGAAGGGGGAGACACATGTTAAACTAGAATGTGCTTAGATTATCTTTTTTCCAACTTCACGAATTTTAAATTGTAATGAATTATGTTGTTTAATTCTGATTCTGTATTAATATAAAAAGATGCTGAAGGTTATAGTTTGGGGATGTTTTAAAGACATGCTACATTAGCTATAATCATATCTGAAATGAATCTATTTCATTACTTATCTTTTAGATATGAAATAAATTATTAATAAAATATTAAGTGTAAATTTAGCTTTAATGTGCTTATATTTTAGACATCTGAAGGTACTCCAAGACATGTCTTCAGAACATTTAACAGTTTAATTGAAAACTACAAAAAGCCAAATCAAGGCCTAGTAATCAATTTGTGCTACCCTGTAAATCGTTGTCCTTACTATCAAGAAACTCAAACTGTGTATGTCACTAAAGAAGAAGCATATGAGGATCCAGGTAAGAGACAAATAATTATAAAGGTGGTAAAATATTTATATATTTCAAATTAAAAAATGATATATCAGCATAGACTACTAAAGTTTGCTTTTATGAATGAGGGAGAGGGAGAGGAAGGGAGGGAGGGAAGGAGAAGGAAGGAAGGAAGGAAGGAAGGAAGGAAGGAAGGAAGGAAGGAAGGAAGGAAGGAAGGAAGGAAGGAAGGAAGGAAGGAAGGAAGGAAGGAAGGAAGGAAGGAATTCTAATCTGCCTAGAGGAATTATTTAGAGGATTGTTATAAAAATATGGGCAGTTATTTTCTTAGGTGAAGTGGTCAGGCATATACAGTATTTTTATAGCATTGTGGGATTGGAAGTGGCTGTAACTATTATTGTCCAAAACTAACACAGTTTTAGGAAAGCATTGGCTGTTGATTTGGTGTTCAGATTACTGTCATATCAGTTACATACCAGATCTGGTGTGATAGAATGCATGGCTCTTCCTTTGCATGAACCAATGAGATATGTTACTTTTTGCCCAGATCTAGCTTTCAGAGCAGATCAGAGTCTCCTCACAGCCACAGCAGAAATGCCTATCCTGTTATCAATAGAATTTCAGCATTTAAATTAGCAGTATTGGCCAAAACCAATAGTGGGTCCAGAGCTTGCTTCTTCTTGTAACAACAGCATTTCCTGAATGGAATAGTCTCCCACTGAATAACCCTCATTGAATAACTATCAATACTTCGTTCCCCCTGCAGTGCAAAAGCCTGCATACTGTTCCCACGACAAAATGGAATTTGTTTAGAGGGAGCCTATGAAATTTAGGCAAATTGGCAAATTAGTAAATATTAACTGCTTTCAGATTTGCCAGTAAAATCAATTCATAAGCTGGATACTTATTTAATTTTTCAATTTCTATAATCACTCAATTCAATTAAGTGACTCTGAATTCTAAAAGTACAAAACAATTAAAATAATAAAAAAAACCATCAAAACAATAAGAACACACACAAGATAAGTACAACCGTATGAGATAATTAATCTACTAATAGTAAAGCCAAATAACCAGGACCCTTAACACACTCCAGGTCTGGATACATAGCCAAGGTTTTAAAGCTTTGCAAAGGCCAAAAGGGCTGAGCCTGTTCTAATCTCTATTCTCTTCTCTGAGAGGAGAATATTCTGTAAACACAGGAGCTACAGCAGAAAAAGCCCTGTCTTATAGTTCCTGCCAGTTAACACTCCTTGACTGATAGGATCTGCAGCATTCTCAATATATTTAATTGAATTGGATGGGTAGAAACTCTTGGAAAAGGACATTCCTTCAGGTAACCTATACAAGCCATGCAGGGCTTTTAAAATGACAACCAGAAACTTGAATTGCACCTAGAAACACACCAGCAGCCTGTGCAGTTCACAGAGAAGAGATTTTACATGTGCCACATAGCCGGCACCATTTATTATCCATGCAGCTACATTTTGCACCTGTTGAACTTTCCGAATGCTCTTCAAAGATAGCCCCATGTAAAACATGTTACAGTAATCTAAGCAAGAGGTTACAAAGAGATGGGTGACGGTGAGCAGGACTCTTCATCCAGGAATGGGCGCAACTGACACACTACCCAAAGGTGTGCAAAAGCTCTCCTAGCCACAGCTACCATATCTTGTGTGGATGGAAAAATTCTTCAGTTTGCAGGAAGTAACAATGGCAACATTTCAAGCATGTATACAACTGTCTCCTGTCTCCTATTAAATGGGCAACATGCTAAATTGTTAAACACACCATTTCAAGTACCACCCAAGGCCACCCTATGTTAGGTTCTTGAATAGTTGTGATTATTGTTATCCAGCTAGTTGGACATGCTTAGTGGAGTGGGGAGGCAATAAAATTATGGACATTCATCAATCCCTCTTCTTAACTTGCTCCACATTAAAACAATAAGGACAGGACCAGCTGTTAGCCTCATTACTAATTGCTTGGCAATTAAGGCAGCAGATTTTGGCCCGCATACTTTTTTCCCTGCTGAAGGACTGATGGAAAGTACTTTAACATCTGGCTGTGCCCTGTTGGTCAGTGGTCATATACATACTTTGCATTCTCAAGGTCAAACCCTAGATAAAATATACGGGTGGTCTTTGAGACTTAAAACCATTAAGCAAGCATCAAGGTACAATGGCAGTGAAAAAAGTGACTTATGACAGTTGCAGCACCCTCCAGTCACATAATCAAATGCAACTGGCATTATTTATGACACTTCCATAGGCTTGAAACGAGATGGTAGCAAATACATTTAATAAATAAATAAATTGGTCTTGCTAACTTTTCCAGCCAACAAGCAAAGTCAATGGGTTAAGTCAGATTTGCTAACCGACCATATGATTCACTTAATGACTGCAATGATTTCACTTAACAATCAAGGCAAAATTGTCATAAAATCAAGCATATGCATTTTCTGCAGTGGCTCACCTAGCTGACCTAATCTGGTCTCAGCTGTAAGTCAGGGTCCACCTGCATAAAAGCATAGCAGCAATAGCACTTTGACTTATTTACTGCTTCACAGTGCTTTACAACCCTCTTTAAGTGATTTAGAGAGCCAGCATATTGCCCATAAGCTAGGCCCTCATTTTACCAACCTCGGAAGGATGGAAGGCTGAGTCACCCTTGAGCCAGGCAAGATCAAACTGCTGGTAGACTGAGATGTTATAACATACATCAGGAAGAGAACATTAGGCTAGATAATGTAACAGTCTGACAGAAGTCTACTCTGTATTTTTTAAGGCACTGAACATCTGAAAGAAGCCAAGTCCTTTAAAACTTTATTTATGTCAAAAATGGAAGTATTAGCAGCAAACAACTAAAGGCAGTTAGCAGAATATAATATAGTATTGTAAACTGATATGCATGGCCTTATCTGTCTGCCCCTGGAAAAATCATCCCCCTGAAAACTGGATGGTTCCCCCGTTAGTGTTCTGGAGGGCCTTAGACACAACCACTGCCAGACCTTAGACTAGGGTGATTACAAGTTTGTTGATACATTATATTAACTAGATTAACCATCTTTTTATTTATATTGTACTTATTCTATTTTATTGGTGGTGGTTTTGTGTTTTCGAGTTGTATTTGTATCTTATTCTCTGCCATATTGTGAGCCATCAGGGTAATTTTGGAGTTAGGCAGTACCTAAACAGGTTAAATTTAAATTCACATTGTTATAAATAATCTCATTCATCTTTACAGTGGAAAAAAAAGTTCCTTTTATGTCTGTCTCGAAATAAAAAAAAAGAGAAGCAAAATACAATATGCATGTGGGCGTATGCAAATTCTTTAAAAAACAGCTTTGCTTTGGCTTTTTACTAAAACATCAATGCTTTTGATAGTGTGAGAGTATGAGAGTGTGAAAAGGAGTCTACATCTAAGTGTCACATTGGAGTGATACGTTGGTATTTACTGCTGAACAAAGTAAAGTATATTCCTGCTAAAGTGAACTGACCCTCTGACACTTTTGATTGGAAGTGGATTGCTTTTCTATATTGAGGCACTACAACTGAAGGAGACACCATCCTACAAGTGAAATAGTTAAACATATCTCTATAGGACTGGGGGGGGGGGGGAATGAAAGGAGCTATGGAGATATTGGGATATAAGTTATTTGCTGTGGAAGGGTGGTAAAACATACCATAAATACAAGCCTTCTAAGTTACATTTAACACTGAAAACACAATTCAACCAGAATTTAAAGGAGCAAAAGTAGGAATGGATGTGAGGTTAAAAAAGAAATCATTTTATGTCTTTGCTACAGATTTCTGTTCTTCATTCAGGTTTCTGGCCCCTTGAATTGTATATTGTAAGATAGTTATGTAATAGATAGAATCCTCATTCTATTGAGTCTTATATAGTAAATTATCTCTTACTACTGTGTGTTTAAATCAACATTGATTACTGAAGCAGCACATTGTGAATGTGAATAACTTTTTGCACTGAAATTTAGAGAAATATGATAATCTTTTTCTCATCCTCTCTCCAGATGTTGGTGAAGATTACATTAACGTCTTGCCCGATTAATCTGTTCACTCCGTTTCAGCAGGGGTGTTCTATGGATCACACCCATGCAAACTCTTCTATTCACTTCACTGGATTCTGTGTTCATTTGTACTTTCGATAATTAGGTGACAAATACCAATTTTTACTTGCTGGTTTGCTTGCCTGTGTAAAAAGGCACATTTTGTAAAATGCATACATACTTGTATAATCTTCTTTCCATGTACTGAGTACATACACGCCCTGATGAAGTGGACATATGAAAAGCTTATACCACAAAAAGGTGATAGCTTTTTCCATTTTGCAATACCTCATTATATTTTCACTTTAACAGTTTTCCTTTATTTGCACTATTTAACTTACTATATCTGAGAGTCATAAATGCAAGGATCTTTGATCTTTATAATATTCTAAATTGTTTATTTTAGTATTATTCAATATCATTGCTATAAGTAACACTTACAAAAACACAGATATATTTAAATCTCATGTTTTAAGATCACAGTAATGAATATAAGAAACCTAAGAATGTTTATATAGCTGATCAAGTAGCTATGCAAGATTTGGTTAAGAAGTAGCATAAGCACCTCTAGTAACCACCAATTATTATTTACTATGTTAAGCAAGCCAAATGCTTAACTCATCATCATGCTACATCATGTCCATTCAAGAGGCAAAGTTTGGAAAGATCAATCACCTTAATAGTTTATGCCCTCTCAGAAGACTTTGTATTTACTAAAATTGTATTTTTAAAGAAGACGATATGTAATTTCTGATTAAATTATTGGGTCTTTATCAGGGGTGAAATGCTCCCGGTTCAGACCGGATTGCCCGATCCGGTAGCGATGGAGACGTGTGGTTCGGAGAACCGGTAACAAAAATCCCTGCCCCCTCATTGCCCAGCTGAGCCGCGCAATCATCAGAGGCTTTTTTTCAATTTTTAAAAGCATTTTTTCTACAACCTCTTTGGCCAAAAAATGCTTTTAAAAGTAAAAAAAAAGAAGCCTCTGATGATCACGCGGCTCAACTGGGATCATCAGAGGCTTTTAAAAGCATTTTTTCTACAACCTCTTCCACCAAAGAGGTTGTAGAAAAAATGGTTTTAAAAGTAAAAAAAAAAAAAAGTTGGCCACGCCCACTCAGTCATATTAACCCCACCACAACCAAGCCATGCCCACAGAACCAGTAGTAACAAATTTTACATTTCACCACTGGTTTTTATTCTTCTTTGATTTTCTCTTTCTGCATATATATTTCTGCATAAAAGAAACCTGCAAACTCTGTTCCTCAATGCGATGATGATGTCACCTAGCCTGTAAATGAAATGTCTGCAAGAAAAAAGGGAAGCTCAGAGGACACCAAGAAGCCAACAATTATCTGAATTACATAATTTTATTTGGGTGAAGTGTGTTGGTCACTATACAAGAAAAGATACTAGTACATATAGTTTTTCTTGATGGTATTTTACAATGGAATTTTACATTTTGATCAATTGTTGCAGGTAGCATGCAGGATGAATTTAAGGAACTCTTATGTTTTCTTTTTAGTTTATATATAAAAATAAAATGCATAACATCTACCACTTTAAATGAGCTGCAGTTTAGAAAAGAAAAACATCATTAAAATGTTTGATTAGTTCCACCAATTCATTTTCTTGTTAAAGTAACGCTATTACAGAATTTGGTCTGTAATTCTTTAGTAAAAACATTGGCATGTTACTAATATTTTAAAAATGTACTAGAAGGCAAAAAAGGGACAGTATGCCAGAGAAATGAGTTTAAATTGTAAAAAATATATATACATTCGTTTAACTTAAATTACATTGTTAAACTAGACACATTTTTTAAAAAAGTTACCGAAGCATAAATAAAATAACTAAGTGTATCCTTACATTTTAAAAAATTGAAGTAAAATCACCTCTAGCTGAGCCTTATAGATGTCTACATTTTTAATATAATTTCAGTGCAAGGTTTTTTTAGTTACCATCTTCTTTTTTTCTGCTAATGGCTTTTACATTTTTAAATTATAATGTACTCAAGTGTTCTTTTCAATTCATTTTAACCATAATGTTAATGTGCTATAATCCATGCTGTTAATTGAAATGTCTTGATGAACTGTGAAGAATACATCTCTATAAAAAAATAAATGAAGTATTTTTCCAGATAACACGTTTGTTTGCGCAATGATTTTTCTTTAGAGAAATTAAATAGTGCTGTATATTCAGGAACATTAACATGAATGACAGAAAATCAATGAGAATGTCGGTTTCCAAATTCTTTCATGAAGAAATGCTAATCATTTTACAGTTTTGGGGATTGGGGGTGAAGCCATTTCAAGGATCAAGAATCTGGAAAGGACCTCAAAAGTCACTAAGTCCAATTCCAGAATATCCAGTACTGCATTATGTTTAACAGGTACTGTAGTCATACTACTTTGGCTTTAAGAACTCTCTTATCAGTTTATACTATCGAGAAATTCTTCCAACTGTTAATTTTGAATTATTTTTCTTAGAAGTACAATCCATTGCTTCAAATCTTAAACTTTGGAACAATATAAAACAAAATAATGCATTTTAGCATATCTCATAAAATCCTATCTTGTTTTCTTGTGTGCAATAAATGTTTGAATCTTTTCTCATGGGACTTGATCCCTAAGCCTCTTTACCCTCCTTCACCTAATATGTAATAGAACATACTATGCTATTGTTATATCACTTCCATTTCAAATAGCTAGTGATCTATGTTGATGATAACATTTAGCTGGGTATATTTTTGATTGTTTTTAATTTATTTTGATTGTTTTTCAATTTAAGTTTTATGTATATAAAAAGACAGAAGCTTTTCGAAAATTAATTATTTCCATTACACAGGATTTAACACTTTCACATTGGTTGATAGTATCAGCCGGTATGTAAGGTTTTCGTAAATCATCTGTGTCACAGGAAATAACAGCAGAAACATTTGCTGTTATTTGCTTTATTCTATAAAAAGTTGTCATTAATATATGAAGAAAATGGTCCTAATGCATATAATAAAATATATACATGGAATTTGTCAAATAGTTACTATGTGCATACTAGGTTTACTATGCAAGTAAACCTAAGGTTCTTCTAAAATAACAAATATTTTGTAACCATCAGTAAGATATGCCACACATCTACAACTGCCGTGAGCAGATATCATCTTCAATTTACCACTTATTTAATTAAATTGTGAGGTGGGCTTCAATTAACTCATCATGTAATCTGTCCAGGAATTACTAACTCTCTTAGATGAGGCAGTGAATTCATATGAAAAAGTGACCACTGTTAATTCATGGCACAAATGGGAAGAAGGGATATAAAGTGGATTAGAAATAGCAAGCCCCACTTCCAAATCTGTCTAAATAATGGTAACAATGATCCTGTTATCATGGATTTCTAATATTTCCCTTTCATCTAGAGAAAAAAATGAAAAAGGCAGACATGGAGTTGAAGTCTGAGAGGATAAAAAATAAATTACAACCACATGACAGATCCAGCCATTTTTTCATTATCTTGCTAGAACAAAAAGTTGTGTCAATTGATGCAGTGAGGGGATAGTTAGATCTTTCAAACTCTGCAAACAGTCTGAATGGCAAAATGAAAAATCTCAGCATTCAAAAATTCCTAGGCTGAAAGAGACTGCTCAAAGTGGGACCAAAAGTACCTCCTTATACTACAGATTTGACAAGCAACTAGAAAAGAATGGAAAGGAAAAAGTGAGGGGACAGCAAGACTGCTGGAGTGGTTTCCAATGTCGTCAGTAAACAATAGCTGTCTGAAACTTAGTTCAGCATGTGACAACTGCTAAAGAGTTGTTAGCCAGTGTGTTCCATTTCCCAACTATGAGTATTATTTCATCATTATAAAGACATGTACACACAAACACACAAAAAATTTTGTTGACTTATTTTATGATATTAAGACACACGCGGTACAGTAATTGTTCTTTTCCCTATCCTCAATAGCCTGTCTTATTAAGTTGTCTGGAAACATTTATAGAACTGAAAAATTATGTGTTACAACAGATTTGTGAGACTTTTTGAAGATGAATCACCTGTGTTCATTCAACTGGAACACTGATTTTGACACATTACATACAGAGGCACTGAGCATATCTGGTACATAATTTTGCTAAAAATAAGGGATCACTTTCAGTTTAAGAGTTAGGGTTAGTCATTGGATTCTCCTTATCTCCCAGAGATAAGGAGAATCCAAGACCTCGGTGCCTTCCGCCGTGCCCTTAAAACCTTCTTTATCCAGCAAGCCGGGTTGGCCTAACACTTTTTAAAATGTTTTTAATTGTCTGTTATTGGTTTTAATCATGGGGCCAAATTTATATATATCTTTTTAATTGTATTTTAATGTTTGTAGTTTATGTTTTTACTTGGCTGTTCACCACCCTGAGTCCTCAGGGAGAAGGGCAGTATACAAATTCAAAAACAAACAAACAAACAAACAAATAATCCCTGCCCATGTTGTCTTATTCTAACTAGCCTGTGGTGCAACTGGATGGAATCAGAAAATTGTGGATACATTTTTACAAGATGGTGTGATCTTAAATGAACAATAGCAATTCTATAGTGCAGGGCTATCAAACTCCCAGCCCACGGGCCAGATGCGTCACACACTGGCCACGCCCACGGCCGGTTTAGTGAAGGGTAAAAAATTCCAATGCGCCATGTGACACCACAGTGACCTGACTTTGACAGCCCTTCTATAGTGGATGATGTAAACTGATTCTAAACCCTGGCAAGATAAAAAAAAAAAATTGGATGGATAGTTCCAGAGTATGGATCCTAAGGAGCTTAAGTGTTCTAAATTAAGAAACTTCAGAAACAATAACATATCAACACCATGCAGAAATGACCATCTGTCAACTAATAAACTATTGAATACCATGGACTCAGCATCCATATATCATTTGTGTGGAAAATACAAACACAAGAGCCAATTAGAATAATAATGTTAGCTGCCTGAGCAAGGGATTGGACTAGAAGACATCCAAGGTTCCTTGCAACACTGTTATTCTCTTAATTTTAAATTTCTCTTTGACAAATTACCATTATAATCTGGTAAATTATCATACAGTACTGTTTCTGGTGGTCACAGAAAAGTGCATCAGCAAAACCAGGCAACCAGTGCAGCTTAGAAATGCCGAATTTCTGCTGTTTATAGGTCATGGATCTTTTGGTGGATTGATGTTTGATGCCTTGCATTTTTTATGGATTGTCAAAGCATTTTTAGACACAAGCATAGCTGGACTTCTGGATGAGAATAGAATTGAGGACTAAATCCCTCCCTCTCCCTATTCAATCCTCGATGAAAACTCAGATCACTTTGCCTTAGGGAAGATTAAACTTGAGGGGAACTCAGAACAAAATGAGGTCAAAGTCACCGCAACCCTTTCCTTCTGAAAACGAGAGTAAACTCATTACTGTTTGGAGCAGTGATAGCAAACCTTTAAGACACCAAGTGCCCAAACTGCGCATGCATGCCTGAACTGAAAGGTGCGTGCGTGCATGCAAACACACGGACATGCATGCGCAAATGTGCAGACATGTGCACATGTGCAGCAGAGACCCGAAGACCAGCTGGCCGGCAGGAGGCAAGGCATCCCAACACCGGCAGCGCAGCAATAGGTAAGATCTTTTTCTTTCGTGAGCTTCTGTTTCGTCGTTTGCAGGGAAACAAAAGCTCATGAAAGAAACGCTATGGAGATCTGACCGGGGAAAACAGCACATGTGTTAACAGAGAGGGCTCTGCATGCCACCTCTGCCACGCGTGCCATAGGTTCACCATCACGGGTTTGAGGTAACGGGCTGTGTGGAGAGAGTTTCTTCCTTTAAATTCCTGGGAGTCTACCTTGACGAAGATCTTACCTGGAAGATCAACACGACCCAGATGGCCAAAAAGGCCCAACAGAGACTCCACTTCCTCAGGGTCTTGCAAAAAACCAAAGTGGAACAACAACTGACGACCTCCCTTTTACCCATCCACAATAAAAAGCATCCTCACTCATTCCATTAGTGTGGTATGCCGGCCTGACAGCTGTGGATTGAAAGACATTACAAAGGGTGCACAGCACAAAACATTGTGGGCTGTCCCGATATCCATAGATGACATCGCTAAGGCTCGCTGCCTTAGAAGAGCGAGGAAAATTTATTTATTTAGTCGCATTTCTATGCCGCCCAACTTCCAAGGGACTCAGGGACGACTCACATCCTGGTCAGCACTTCTTTATTCTCCTGCTGTCGGAAAGGAGATATAGAAGCATAGGCAGCCGCACAAATAGGCTGAAGAACAGTTTTTATCCATGGACTGTCAGGCTTCTGAATGGAAAATAACTTTACAACAACATAGTTGTTGACTTGCGGGGCGGGCGCGATGTGCAATAAGTTCACATGGTGCAGTAGGATTGTGTGCTTGTTAGTAGGATTCACTGGGTTAGGGATTTTTTTTTTGACTGACTTTCACTGTGAGTTGTATTGGGGGGGGGAGGGTGCACGAAGCGAGGCTCAGCCCATCTCATTGTACACATGTTGCACTCTGACAATAAAGGTTTGAATTGAATGACAATTCAGGCTGGCTTTCCCCTCCTCCTATTCTTACCTGCTTGCATTCTACAACGCCTTGTCTAATCACCCCTCCCTGCAGAGCTTTGCCCAAAGCTCCTCCTCTCGAACACGCTTTGAGAAACGGACGCGGTTTCCCTCTGACTTCTGTGGGTTTTTCGCGGCCGGAACTTTACGAAAGCCGTTGGTTGAAAGCAAAAAATAGCCATCCCACACACTGGCCTCAACTACGCCTGGCCACATTTCACACGGGCTGGAGTGGATGAAAGCGGTCGAGTTCCGAGCCCGGAGCGAACAGAACCTCCCCGCTGAGATCCTTCTCGCTGGTTCCCAGCATGCAAGCGAGCTTCCTAGAGCGGCGGAGGCTTCCGCCCAACTCCGGAGGCTTTCCTTCACTGGAGCAACAGGGGCAAAATGGCGGCCAAGGCGCCAAATACAAACTTTTGAATTTCGCGAGGTGAGGGCTGACACTGTCTCTGGCCCACTTTACGGACGGTTGAGGCCATGGACGCCTCGGCCTGTATGAAGTCTCTGCTCTTGGCGGCTTCTCAATACCGAGCTGCCCGCACCCAGCCCAACGCAGCGCTGCTTCAGCGGAGTTTAGAGGTGAGAGACAGTCTCGGTAGACCACCAGGTTCAAAGCTTTCCCCCCCCCCCCACTTTCCCTTTCAGATATTTTGTAGTAGAAATAGGTAGAGAAAGAAGGCGCGTTCAAATAACTGGCCCGCTGCTGCCTCAGCGCTATCGAAGCTTTTCAGTCACAATTCCCCCACTACTGCCCCGTTTTTGCGAAAGATATGCAGAAGATCCATATATAAACGAAGTGGTTAAGGGCGAATATGTTGGGTCCTGATCGCTCCTAGCGCAAAAAACCTCCAGTAATCGTTGAAGAACTGAATGTAGGACGCCGTCCTCAACTGATCCTTAACTGGCTCTTTATGTAGGCAGCCCCTGCCATTATTTTGTTTTGGCAGTGGCACATGTCAGCCCCTATCGGAACAGGCAAAGAAGGCACCCCCAAATCCGTTTGGGGACATGGCCCTGATCTTGCGGCTGTTGGTCGTTGAGAGCTACTGTGGTTCATGCATCCGGGGCCACAGCCACTGATATTTATCTTTGGACCATAGGTGGTGGTATTTCCCCTTGTGCCAGAAAGCCATTGCTCTCGCTTTTCTTGCCAACCCATGGAGAGAAAGTGGGAGCTAGGACTAGTGTTCTGCCATTAAAAAAGACCCCTCCCTCCCTAGTTTAGTTTATTTGATTTGTATACCACCCTACTCCCGAAGGACTCAGGGCGGTGAACAGCCAACAATAAAATACATAGATACACAAAATTTAAAAACCAGATAAAATCAAATTAAATCATTTTGGCCCAGACAAATTAAAACACCCCAATAATTTAAAAATAGATTAAAATTTAGATATTTAAAAAGGGAAGAGATTAGGCCAAGCCCGCCTGATGGAATAAAAAGGTCTTCACAGCGCGGCGGAAGGTGCGCAGATCCGGGATCCTCCGTATCTCCGGGGGGAGCTCATTCCAGATAGTAGGTGCCCCCACAGAGAAGGCTCTCCCCCTAGGGGCCGCCAGTCGACCTAGTGGCTGATCAGTTTCTTTTCCCTGCTGAAGATGAATGGAATAGAAGTGGCTCTTTCGTCTCTGTATCTCTACTATTATGTTATGGGATCCTCCCTGCAGATATGCCAGCTACACGCACACCAAGTGCAGGCTTTCTCAAGCCCCTTACATAATTCAGATCAGTAACAGACCAACCCAACTCACAGGATTGAAAATAGGAGAGTTAGGAATATTAGGTATGTTTTCCACCTTGACTGACCTTGATTTATTTATAAAAATAAATACAAAGGCAAGGTAATAATGCTTGGATTTAAGCCAAAGAAATGAAGATGGGTTATGAAATCTCTGAAACTAGATATTTAGTCCTTACAATACTTATTATAGAATACAGGAAACAGTTCTTTATAATCTGTTTAATATTCTTTCTCAAAGATTCCAAGCCGAAGGTTTGTTGTCTCACCTATGAGATAAGACTGATAAGTCCATCTGTAAACGGGTGGGTTCTACTTACCTTTACTACCAGTTTGCAATGGGGCATGCGCAGAAGCGTTTTAATGACATCAGGGTCAGTGGGTGGAGCCTCCCGCCAGTTTTACTACCGGTTCTATAGAACCAGTACGAACCGGGGACAACCCACCACTGCTTGTAAACCTTTGAGTGAAAATTCCCTTAGAATTTCCCTATTCTGCCTGAAAGAACAAAAATGGATGGGGATAAATTATATCAAAGCACATAAGTGTTTAAACAAATGTCTCTTGATAGATGTTTTTGTTGGGGTATAAGTCATACCGCAAGTGGGGGAGGAGAAACAGATCAACCACTAACTGGCTGCAGTAGTGCTCGGACTCTGCAATCTGCACCTGTGGTAGAGGTGGGGTGGAGGGAGTGTTACTTTCTTCCCTCCCTCTAATAAGAAATAACCCTGCTGAAACTGGTCTGTACTTCTGCGGGGAAGGTGACAAGACCCACTTCCCGTCCTTCTCTTATCCACTTTGCTTATGCTTTCTACCATGGCAAAAGAAATAAGAACCTTTCTGTTTTGATTCTCATACTATGAGTTGGGTGAGAAAGGGGGGGAAACAAGAAGGAGAGAATAGTGTCTTGGTACCACTTGTTGAATCACAACTATGTTACTTCCAGCAGCTGGCATCAAGGGAGTTGTTTTCCCACGTAGCTTTCTTCTACCCCAGGCTTCTAGCACTTCACTGTCAATGCAAAATATGAGTCTAAAGTTTGATCAGTCTTTGAGTTGAGTTGAGTTATTTTTATGCTGGTTTCCAAACTGCATATTTGTACTTTAATGCTCTGTGCAGAAGAGCTACAAGGTCACAGTTATACATAACCTGACTTGTTAATAAACTGATACTAGTCCAGTGAAATACAGGTATACAGGAAATACAGGTATGTTTATTACAGAGATGTTTTGCAAGTTCTGTCTTCTATAGTTGTTTGAAAATTTCTTAAAATATGTAATGATGAGGATAATATTGTCTTTATTTATTTATAAAATGTATAGACTGCCCATCCTACCTCAAGATAAATGGGCAGCATTTAAGGCAATTGGGCCCCTATTTTCAAGGTGACAAGGACAAAAAAAAATCTGTGATATAGGGATTAATTGATTTATTTCTGCATATTGTGATTTGCATCCAATAAACCTCCTATTGTAGTTTTAAAGCACACGTTGCTTCAACGATGTTGCTACAGAAGAAAAAAATTTCAACAAGTTAATATACCAGTAATTGGAAAATCAAAGAAAAAGTAGACTGTCTCAAGTTAACTTGACTTGTGGAGACTTCATAGACATACCCTTACAATTTTTCTTTTCAGGTTATCTCAGGATTGAAATTGACAAAATTTTTTGCATCAAACCATATTTTACCAAGTGAATGCCTCAATTGCTTAGTAGAACTTATTGAGGACCCAAATCTAAGCCCTCCATTAACCTTGAATGTTGTAGGCTTGCTTTCTAAGTTAGGTAAGTTTTAAATGTATTTGAGTTGCACATACAAGTTATTTTATAGCTGGGAATATATGTGATATAATCTTATTGATAGCTCTGATTTCTTTCTTTTTTAAATAGGCTGATGTCCTATTAAATTTTTAATTAAAGAGGAGTTCACTTGTTATTAGAATCATACTTCCTTGACTGAGGATTTTTAAAAAATAATTTATTGCAAGGGTCTGGAGCAGAACAGTTTAATATTTGTAAAATAATAACAAAGTAAAAAGTGATAATTAGCATGAAATATACTATACTATTTGTATCATATTCTGTACAACCTCATTTATTTCTTTGCAGATATGACAAATTGTGGAATATGTAAACAAGTGATTATGATACTTCCATCAGAAATGAATTATCTCCAAAATATAAAATCTGAGATAGAAAAACAGTTGAAATGTTTTCAGTTTGCTAAATTTAGTTAGCTTGTATTTTGAATATATGTATACAGGTTGTCTTTGACATACAACCAGTGGTGAAATCTAAAATTTGTTACTACCGGTTCTGTAGGCATGGCTTGGTTGGGGGCGGGGGTGTAATGTGACTGGGTGGCTGGCCATTTTTTTAAATTTTTTTTACTTTTAAAACCATTTTTTCTACAACCTCTTCGGTGCAGAGGTTATAAAAAATGCTTTCAAAAGGCTCTGACGATCCCAGCTGAGTTGCCTGATCGGCAGAGGCTTTTTTTCTTTTAAATGCCTCTGATGATCAGGCAACTCAGCTTGGATCGTCAGAGGCATTTAAAAGGAAAAAAGCCTCTGCCGATCAGGCAACTGAGCTTGGATCCTCAGAGGCATTTAAAAGGAAAAAAGCCTCTGCCGATCAGGCAACTCAGCTGGGATCCTCAGAGGCTTTTAAAAGTATTTTTTCTACAACCTCTTCAGAGGTTGTAGAAAAAATGCATTTAAAAGCCTTTGAGGATCCCAGCTGAGCCACGCGATCATCAGAAGCTTTTTTTTTTTACTTTTAAAAGCATTTTTTCGGCCAAAGAGGTTATAGAAAAAATGCTTTTAAAAGTAAAAAAAAAAGCCTCTGATGATTGTGCGGCTCAGCTGGGTATGGAGGGGCAGGGATTTTTGCTACCAGTTCTCCGAACCACCCGCCTCCATCGCTACCGGATTGGGTGATCCGGTCCGAACCGGGAGCATTTTATCCCTGCATACAACCACAATTGGTACTGGAAGTTCTGTTACTAAGTGATGCGATTAAGTGAGTTGTGTCTGATTTTATTAACTTTTTTGCTCAGTTGTTCAGCTAATCCAGTTTCCCCCATTGACTTTGCTTGTTGGAAGTGCCCTGGGAAGGTGCAATTATCATATAAATACATGCCAGTTGCTAAGTGCTTGAATTTTGATCATATAATCATGGAGATACTGTGTCAGTTGTAAGTGCGAGTACTGATTGTAGACACCTTTTCTATACTACCATAATTTTAAATGGTGATTGAACAAATGGTCATATGTCAAGGACTACCTATATTTATATGTACAATAGTTAGGATTAAGATGGAACTGGGTATGGAAAAGTTTAAAAAAAATGGTTTTGTGGAGGTTTATCATTTCTGAAAGATGTTC